GGCTGAAGTCGGACGCTTAACCGACTGCGCCACCCAGGCGCCCCTGTGGGCTTTTTTTCAATATGCCCCAGTCACATTTTAGAAAAGGCATATGCGGGGCGCCTGGGTGGTGCAGTCGGTTAAGCGTCCGACTTCAGCCAGGTCACGATCTCACGGTCCGTGAGTTCGAGCCCCGCGTCGAGCTCTGGGCTGATGGCTCGGAGCCTGGAACCTGTTTCCGATTCTGTGTCTCCCTCTCTCTCTGCCCCTCCCCCGTTCATGCCCTGTCTCTGTCTGTCTCAAAAATAAATAAAACGTTGAAAAAAAAAAATTAAAAAAAAAAGAAAAGGCATATGCCCAGTTACTGTCTCTCGAAACCTCAGGGCCAGGAAGGACAAACAGCATGTGAGATCCGTTGAACGTCTTAGGGAAATAGAAACCAGCGTGTTTCTCTGATGATGTTTTCTCTCCGGTCTTTCTAGCGCTTCGTTCGATTCTACGGTCCGACTGTGGGATGTGGAGCGAGGCGTCTGCGTCCACACGCTAACCAAGCATCAGGAGCCTGTCTACAGCGTAGCTTTTAGCCCTGACGGGAAATACTTGGCCAGTGGCTCCTTCGATAAGTGCGTGCATATCTGGAATACTCAGGTAATCCCCCGATTGCCGCGACCGAATCCTTTCCAGAAGTAATGCCCAAACAGCGTTTGTGGGGACCCAGGCCAGGAGCGGCGACTGGGAAGTCTGTGCTTAGGAACGAGCGGCCTCATACGGAGCCTGGAAGCAAACCCTGCCTTGCCCAGGCGGACCTCGGGCTCAGCACCGCGGGGCTGTGGGCCTTCCCCCCCATCCCCCGCCCCCTCATCAAGGGATCTCCCCGTCTTCGACTTTCTCTAAGCCCCTGGCATGAAACCTTCCACCTGCAGATGACCTGCGGTCATCTCAGCAAAGTGTCGCCCAGCCCTTTCCAGAGATGCCGCTGTCGGTCACAAGGGTTCGAGGGGGAGAGGGGGAGAGGCGTCCTTCTGTCCGAGCTTACCGGGCAGGGGTGCCAGGCCGGCCCTGACCTCCTGCGCTCCCCGCCAACACCAGTACCTTCTCCGTGCAGCAAACCAAGGAGCACAAAGGAGTGTGTTTGCTGTGCTCATGCCATTTAATGGTTTTGGACTGAAACGGTGTTCGGGTAGCAAAGGATAGGTCAATGATGGGTCGTCGTGTTATCAGAACTAAAAGAGAATGTTTGGTTCAGTGTAGCCACTGTAAGTACCTGCAGCCGTAACTGAGGGTAAATAGCATTCTGAATATAGAGAGTAGAATGACAGGAACTGGTATAGTACAGAAGATTTTTTAAGTGATTTTTGAAAGAGGCGGAGAAAGGGAAACCGAGAATCCGAAGCGGGCTTCGCGTTGTCAGCGCAGAGCCCGAGGTGAGGCTCGAACTCCCGAGCCCCGCCATCGTGACCTGAGCCACAATCGGGAGTCAGACACTTAACTGAGCCACCAGGCACCCCCAGTACAGAGTACTGTATCGGGCAGTCAGCTCTCGGCTCTCCTGACGGAAGACAAATGCTGTTACGGTAGGAGGTGTTGCAAACAGCCTGTGACCCGTTTTGTTGGATCTCAGGGTGGATTACGTGTCCCGCTTCTGTGCTTTTAATCTGACCCACCTTCTTGATCCCCTTTGGCTGGGTTGACCTTCAGATGGATTTGCATTCTCCAGCCCATGGCCTCTTGTGGCAGGGAAAGGGGGTAGTGAGCCAAGTTCACTGGCATGGGGGTGCGGGCGTCCGCGGAGACCTCAGGCTCCCCGGGGAGTGCAGTACATAAACCAGTTCTCTCGCAGAAGGAGAGGCGATGGTGGGCCCTGCGTGCAGGCAGCCTGACACCAAGGCGAGTTGCGCGGCCCCAGACAGGCCTCCCAGAAACCCCCCAGCCCCACGCCAGGAACAACGTGACAGAGGCTTTCGGTGAAACACTAGAAATCGTGATGGGCGGGTCTGCAACATGACCTCATTCATTAAGTGCTGCCTGCTGTCAAAAAGTCGTCGAACCCTGTCACCCCCGTTTTAGAAATCACAAAACTCAGACATTTTATTTGCTTTTTTTTTTTAAACATTTTTATTTATTTTTGAGAGATAGAGAGCGAGCGGGGGAGGGGCAGAGAGAGAGAGGGAGACACAGAATCAGAAGCAGGGTCCAGGCTCCAAGCTGTCGGCACAGAGCCCGACGCGGGGCTCGAACTTGCGAACATGAGACCGTGACCTGAGCCAAAGTCAGATACTTAACCAATGAGCCATCCAGGCACCCCTTATTTATGTTTTTAAAGACTTTAAGTAAACTCTCCACCCAATGTGGGGCTCGAACTTACAACCCCGTCCACGATCAAGAGTCACAAGCTCAACCGGGCCAGCCAGGTGCCCCCTCTTTGAGACGTTTTATTTGTTGTGTTATTATTTTGTTAACGTTTGTTTATTTGTGAGACAGAGAAGGAGAGCGAGAATCCCAAACAGGCTCTGCACCGTCCATGCAGAACCTGACCCAGGGCTCAAACCCATGAACCATGAGATCATGACCTGAGCCAAAGCCAAGAGTCCGACACTTGACAGACAGAGCCACCCTGGCGCCCCTCTTTGAGACATTTTAAAGCTCACTTTAATCCTCAGGGAGGGTACTGTGTGAATATAAAAAAAAAAACGTACCTAACGTTGTTGGCTTGCTCCTTCCCCTGTTCCCATCTCGTAGGAAGTCTGAGAGGCCTGTGTCTACAGCCGCTGGAGACCTTATTGCAAGTCGTTTTCATTTCTAGGTGTCAAAAATACCTGAGATAACGTATCTGTGATGACATTTCAGGATAACGTCCAAAGGAGTGTGCCCATTGCACCACATCCATGTTTTGTTTCGTGTGTACTGCTTTGAGAGCGTGAGATTGAGGCGGGTGCATGAGTTAGGGAGAGGCAAAGGGTGAGAGAGAGAGAACATCTCAAGCAGGCTCCCTGCCTAGCGCAGAGCCGCATCTCACGACCGCGAGATCATGACTTGAGCCAAAACCAGGAGTCGGACGCTTAACCGACAGAGCCACCCAGGCGCCCCGGCTACCGCGTCCGTGTTTCGAGTGTCCTTTAGCGTCGTTAAGTGATGACTGCTTTGCTTTGCAGAGTGGAAGTCTTGTCCACAGCTACCGAGGCACTGGCGGCATCTTCGAGGTGTGCTGGAATGCCCGAGGGGACAAAGTGGGTGCCAGCGCGTCCGATGGCTCTGTAAGCGGCACCTGTGGTTTGCCGGGGAGGGGCGGGGCGGGGAGGGGCGGGGCGGGGCACAAAGACGAAACGTCGGGCAGCGGATACCCGAGTGCAGCTGCAGGGGGTGTGACGGGCCCTGGTCTCTGACCGCTTTGCACGCAGGCGCTGAACAGACGTGCTTCTGGTGGAGGAAACTACTGGGCTGACCCTGGGTTGGCACCATCTGTGAATGGCCACCTCTTCCTCCCTTCCAGGTTGTCATTCTAGCCAGCATTTTCTTAGGGATATTCTGCCCCGTGAGGATGCCACAGGGGTGATCCTGCCCTGTCACAATGTCAGGAGGCACTCTGGGCTGTCACTACTTTGACAGGGGCGCTACTGGCATCTGGTGCGTGGAGGGCAGGGAGGCCGCCAGTCCTCCCACAACGCGCAGAATGGCCCCCGGAGCGGGGAAGGACCTGGCTCTAGGTGTCACCGGTGCCGAGGCTGAGAAACTTGCTCCTAGCTTAGTTCCGTGTTTGTGACCCTGACCTCTTGTGATAAAGGCATGACCTCCTGGTCTTATTCGGCTCCCGTGAGATGTCTAGCCTCTTGGTTCGTTCCCGCACTTGGGCTTGCCATGAGCCCCAAGGCGGGGGGGCAGCAGTGGGGCTGGCTCGGTGACGGTCAGCAAGGGCCGCAAATGTTCCCATCGTCTGTGTGCTCGGGCTGGAGTCGTCCTCTCCATCACGTAGCCCGGCCCTCCCCCACTGGTTCCTGGCACTGCCCTCGACCTGGAGCTTCCACGTAGTGCTGTTTGCTTGGCGCTGCTGGGTCGCATGCTCACACACTAGCCTTTTATTAAAGCTGCCAATAAAACTTTATTTACAGAACATGGGTGGCGGGCCGGAGTTGGTCCAGGGGCTCAAAAGGCATCTTGCTGTCATCTGTGAAGATAAGAGGCACCTTCTGTTTCCTTCCAGGTGTGTGTTTTAGATCTCCGAAAGTAAACACAAACTATTCTAGAAGAGAATTCTAACGGACCAGCAGTGAATGTGTGAAGCAGCAATGCTCAGACACCGTTCTTTCCGCTCCAAAACTGTACGAACTTGACTTGCATTAGAGTGTACTTGGAAATCAGTTCATCCTGGCCACAGGAGTCTCTACTTTCTCGTAATCTTCATCAAGAAGTTTAAACCAGAAACATACACAGTCCTATCAAAGGGGGGAAGGAATGGTTTCCACCCAGAACATTCAGCCTGGGAAGCATGGAGCCACCGGCTAGGCGGGGCACGGTTTGCTTTCCATCCAGAACAGGCTCTGATCGTTGAGAGGAGAAAAGACGAAGAGGAGAAAAAAGAAAACAAAAAAAGCTGTGCCAAAAAAGAAAAAAGAAAAGAAAAAAGAAAAATGCTGTGATAAAACCAAAAGTGGGGGAGGGGACTCTCCTCCACATGGTGGGTTCGCTTTTTCCCCCTAACAATTTGGACACTGCACTTGCTCTCACAAAGGATGTTCAAAGACCAGTTTGTACCGATGAAATGCGCAACTTTGTAATCCCAACACTTTCTATTTTCTAGAATCTTCTTTGTCCGGTGGTTTTTCTATTGGCTGGAATCCTGTCGTCCGGGGGCCTTCGGTCTGAGATGGAAACTGGTTTTGGTTTGTTGCTTCCTTCCCACTGTGTGCCCCCTCCACCTCTCCTTCGCGCGGTGTGGCGTTGGTTTGACTACACCTTCCGTAGACGCGCCTCGTGGACACCATGCCGGAATCTCTGACGGTCGGCTTTCCCGTCCCTTCCTCCTCCCCTCCGCCCTCCCTCCCTCTCCCTCACCGCCCCTCGCTCACTCGCTGTCCCTTTCTCATAGTTGCTTCGGATCTTCGGTCTCAAGGGCACTTTCGGCGCATAATAAGTGCTTTATGTAAGAAGGCAGGGCACGGGGACTTTTTACAGGAGAAAAAAAAAAATACTTATAAGAGAAAGAGCCCGGAGTATTTTTGGAAAAAAAAAAAATATTTTTATGTTAAAACAATTTTAAAATCCTAAAATGGCCATCAGACACAGAGAGCTTTGTGTGATTCATATTTTAAGCAAATCTTAGGAGGACACAGGCAGGGTCTGAGGTGGCCTTTCCGTTCCCTGCAGCATCGTGAAAGGCGGTTAGGAATCTGGGTGGAAAAGTCTGGGTGGGTCCTGGGGGGTCGGCGGGGGGATGCTTCTGCAGCGAGAGACGCAAATCCCGGCGCTTTTTGGTTCAAAGAAGAGTGTCACATCGTTTCAGGGGTGTTCACCCTCGTAGCCGGCACGAGAGGAGTCAAGAGCAGAGCCCTCTGACCCCAGGAAGCATTTCCCAAACCAAATGGAATTGAAGAAGCCATCCACACTGACAGCTGGGCTCCCTGTCACCTGTTAGCGACCTCTCGTTCACGGCACTCTGAGTACCCACGGTCGCTTCACCGAGAGCGGTTGACCGGTCCTTGCACAGCTCACCTAAAAGCCTCCGGGATCTCACCCGGTGTGATAGTGACAGAAACGAACGGGAAAGGGAGACTCTCAGTCCTGAAGGTGAATTACGTAGGTAGAACATCACTAATAATTTCTGCCGTCTTCATCATTTCTTTCTCTCACAAGAGACCAGGAGAAAGATTTTTTTTTTTTTTAAATAATGAATCTTTTTACTGTTTTTAAAAAATTAAACATGGCTTTGTGTTCCTAGAGGAGTTTCCTTTCATTGGATCAGGTGCCCTTTGTACTCTCGTCCTAACCCGACACTGACCTGTTTTTTTACATTAGCATCGGGGAAGGAGCGAAAGATTGGGCCTCTTCTCTCCTCTGTTTCCCAGCGGGCATACGAAGGGGCGAGGAAGCTGGTCAGGCCCGGGGGCAGGGGTGCCGGTCGGGGGCAGGCTTCGGCTGGGTGCGCGTCCCAGCAGTGAGACAGGGTGTCGTTTGGAGGGTGGCGTCCGTCCGTGAAGCCAGAATCCAGCCGGCAGCACAGCGGCCTCCCGCAGAACGTGGAATGTGCGGGGACCGGCGGCAACAGCCAGGGTGTGTTCTTCCTTCTAGATCGTTCATTGCCCTCCGCTTGGATACCCGAGTGATGCAAGCCCCGTCTGTAGAAGACCAAAAAGGGCTCTGTGTACAAGCTGGGTATTTGATTCAGGCTCCGTTCCCTAAGTGTTTAGCCCGGAAGGTCCGAGTTCTGTGGCGTCACATTCCCGTTTTTGAAGGTCGCAGACGACGACCGCCTGCCCTAAGAAATCATTAGGTTTGGGACGCTGTTTGCTGGGGATCCAGACCAACACCGTCTTGACCCCTACCCCAAGTAAAAATGTCACCTCTGCAGAGAAGTTGTTGAGGGTTGGGCCACGGTCAGCATGTGGCTCGTGTCTTACAAGCCAGTCGACGTCGGGCGGTCATGGTGGGATGTCCTGTCGGGTTCACTAGATAAGCTTCCCGTGGACGTCAGTGGCCGGGGTCCTGTGGAGCTGTGGGCTTTAGCCTCGTGATTCGTAAGTCTGAATCACGTGGGAATGATCAGCTGGGAGCCATGGGCTGCAAGGCACAGAATGGAGCTGGGGTGACAGAGGCAGATGGTCCCCAACCCTGCCTCCCCACCCCCCCCCCCCCCGCCAGCAGCCGCAGGAGAGGAGCACCCGGGCCTGAAGAGGGACGGAGCCTGAGCACGCAGGGCAGGCCTCCGGCCCACCCCCACCCTCGGCACGACAGCTGTCCGCTGAGCCTCTCACGTCAGCGACTTCCAGCAAGCCGGGAGGTTCCCCCTCACCGAGGGGTGGCCCTCGTGGGAAGTTCCTGTTTGCCATTGTTTACGGCTCTTAAACAATGGTGGGTAAACGCTGAAGTCTTAGTGACCAAATTGAACCTTGATTCTGAAAGCAGAGTAACCCAGTCATCCTTCCTGGAATCTTCGCTCGGGCTTGAAATGACCAAGAGCGTGTCCTGGGGTCTGAAGTGACCAAGAGCATGTCCTGCACCACAGGGTCTAAACCCTCTGACCCCACACGACACCCGGGACTTGACCTCCGTCTTGTCTTTCTAAAACTAGATCACGGAGCCCAGTGAAGTGCACTTTGTCAAATGTAAGGGTCTGCTTTATTCCTTGTTACTTTATTTTTTAACCTTCTGTTCCATCTTGTTTTTTCTTTCTTTTATCCTGTTTCTTGTCAAATGCAGAAATGTTCCTTCCGCCACTCACTGAAGTTTTGAATTCTGGCTTCTGCAGTTTTTATTGTCTGTGTCAGACGTACAGCCAGATGTGGTCCTCTGTCTGCATTTTCTAGATTCGGTTCCGTTCACATCACCCCTCGTTTCGTCGTCCTCCACCCCCACTCACCTTCACGCTCTCTGAGAAGAAGAATCACTTTGTGTGTCGTAGCTCATTTGTTTCAAGAGAAAATCAACAGATCATACTCAGTGTCTTGAATAAATTGCTCTATTTTGATATTAGAGAACTTGGTGGCTGTGCTTTCTTGGGTCTCGCTCGGTTAACTCTTGGTTGGGCCCGCGGGGACATGGATGAACGAAGAGCAAACTGTGCATTTTCTCAGGAAGACCATAACTTGAGGGCCTCTTGGCAGGATTGCTGGGCTGAAGTAGGGCCAAGGGAACGGAACAGCACGATGTGGGAGGAGCAGCGGCCCCCAGTTACCGTAACGTGTTGTATACACGAAGCATGTGTTCGTGTGTTTCTTCATTACTTTCTTCCAGGCTGGTTGTGGTCAGAACTCAAAGCAAGCGAGTGTTCTCCTATCAGCAGCTTGCTTTGCTGGGGCTTTGCGTTCAAGGATTAGCTTTAACTTGGAGAACCCGGGTCCTAGGACACGGGTGAGTTTAGGACACAGGCTACCCTTCAGACGTCTACCAGGGTCTCGAATGTCGCACATCTGGCAGGTGCTTCCTGTCACTTTAATCAATTGGTGGGGGGTGGGGGGGCTACATAATGACTGGGCACTGCCGTCCCAGGGTTAGGGAGGGGGCAGTTGACGAGGAGAGGCAGGGAGTGCTGTACGGGTACTTTTGCCGTAGGAGTCACAGACAAGGTCATGGTATCGTTCCCTCCAAGTCCGGCCCGACCCTGCGCTACAGCAAAGCGGAGGGCTGGGGTCCCTGTGTTGTCTGGGGGCTCAGCCTGGTGCCTTTTCTCACACCTGCCAAGTTGACCAAGCACGTTCCCATGTTTCGGGAAATGGGGTGAGGCACACTCAAGCCGTAGGAAGGTCCTGGACAGATGGGAGTCCCCAGGATAAAGGCACGTGTGATGTGTGGCTTTGGTGGCTTCAGCAACAATGCTGGGTCACCTATAGCTCTCGGGGGGATTCTTCCCACTATAAAGGAAACTTACGTAATTTGGGGCATCTCAAGCTTCCAGTTACTCAGCAGAGAACTTTTCATCGTCCACATCTTGTCTCCTCCATGACCAGGTAAGCTGTGCGAGGGGGTGGACAGGGCGTGGGGCACCACGGGGGGAGCGCGAGGACCCATGCGCGGCGGCCGTGCTCCGAGGACAGGGGCTCTGACTGGGAGCAGTGTTCCCTGAGCACACGTCACCGGGAGAGACCACAGGAAAGCAGCCGGGCGGGGTGCGTCCTCAAACTGCACGGTGGGAAAGGAGCACGAGGGCATTTTGGGGGCGGGGAGCGAGGGAGTCCTCACGAGGGTTTTCGTGCTGTGATAAGCCGACCGGCTGATAAACCGAAGTCCTATGAAAGCTACCTGATGGGAACAGCCTCCTCTTTTCCACCCAGACTACACTCCCGGCCACCCGTCTGTCGTGTCCCAGCCCAGACTGCTGGGGCCCGGTCTCCTCACCTTTTTGAAAACTTGTCTCCCATCAGTGTTGCTTTCTCTCCACTCGCAGCCACCATCTACAAAACGGTAATCAGATGCCCCCGCGGCAACCAGCCTGACAGGGAGACTGCTTACAACCGAGCGGCCCGTCATTTTCTGGCTTATCCCCGGGTTTGCTCCGCTGTCCCTTCTCGTCACTAGATGGACTCGGTGCCCGTCGGTGATGTTCATTTGCAAGTTCTCCACCGCACGGGCCCACTCGCTGCCCGGCAAGTAGGCGTGAGGGGATATTCATGCATCTTCTGACTTTCAGTCCCCCCCCCCCACAACCCCCTCGGGCATAACCGCTGCGCCAGCTGGGGACTTGGCCACCCCATCTCGGAGGAGCTGTCATTGGATCGTCAGACCCGAAAGGGTTCTTCCTTGCAAGTCTCTGGACCTGACTCACTGGTGTAAGGCAAAAAGAACAAACGAGGATACCGGGCCCTCTGAGGGATCCTGGAGGACCAGGCCCGTGCAGGGGAGGTGCGCACAGACACAGCCCCGGGCACTGCCCACGTGTGGACACGACACCGGAGTGGTCCCTCAGCCCCTCTCCGGACCTGCTTCTCTGCGGCCCTTTCCCTCGGGCGCTAGCTGCTAACTAGACTGGCTCGGCCAGGGAGGTGTGAAAGCTAGTACCTGGGCCTACAGGCGGAGGTGGGGGGGGAGGGCTGGCCTCATGCTGTGGGGGGGGGGGGTTCCTCAAGCAGAAGAGGGGCTTCTGGTGCTGCTGGGGACTGAAGAGTCCACGCGGAGGCAGACAAAGAAGGCACATACCGCTCCGAAAAGCTAAGCTTCCTTCGCACGCCCCTGACACTTTGGATCAAGGTGTGGGGAGTGACGTAGCTTGGGCCCATCCTCAGGAATGCGCATGCCCAGGGCACCGTGGCCACAGCGCAGGTGTGCCCCGAATGCTGCTGCAGCCAGGCGACTCTCTAAGAGTACAAGTCCAGAAGCTTCCTGGACGGCTTTTCTAGAGCAAAAGGGCGTCCTTGACCAGAAGGGAGGTGTCCCGTGGCCGGGCGGTCTGTGGTGTCCCGGGAAAACCCCGCCTTGCTTTTTCTATGGATCTTCCCATGTGGCCTGTAACTCCAATGCATGCGACAATATTTTGCCCATAAATACATTTAAAAACTTCAAATACATACCTATAGATCCACCTGGATAGACCTCTATTTCAACTGATGCAAAGATTCTAACCTGGGAAATGGTGTCAGTCAGGGCCAAGGAGTCCTTAGACCAGGTCACTGCTCAGCACAGCATGGGGACCAGGGGCTACGTCATCACGACCTTGCTCAAGAGCATCTGCTAGAGACGTTGTTCAGACAGCATGCGAGCCAGGCCTGGAGCTCAGTTACGACGACTTTATTCACTTTTCTAAGGACCTGGGTCTGGCATTTACATTATAGGCAACCTCAGAAGAGTGGAGAGCAGCTGCTATGTCTGGTCTGGAAGGAATTCTCTCTCTGTTCCCAAGCTCGTGCTCACAGATCGCGTCTCTTACCACGGCTACTCCTCGGGAAGGAACCGTTACAACACGGCGAGGACGGGAAGGTTTGTGGGGAGAATGCAGTTCTAAAGAGTGAGAAACGCAGAACCTGAGGATGTGGGGACCGGACCCCTGTCACGTCCACCCTCAGAGGTCTCCCTGGGGTTCGGGAACAGATTCCACCTCATTTTCGTTGCGGGACCCGCTTGTGACGTGGATTTCAACCGTGCTGGCGTCGGAACCTGGGGAGGAGAAGAGGGTCTCTTGTCAGCAACTGATGCAGGACCTCGCGGCCATTTTCTGCCCCTTTTCCCAAGCGTCTGCCCTGGGCAGCCACGTGTGCGTCTCAGCAGAACCGCGTGGATGCCACAGACCAAACGGAAACCAACTGTGGGCCGACACGGGGGCTTCGGGGCCCTGTGCTGTCGGACCGGGGAGCCCGGGATCACGGCGCGCGTGGGTGACCATCGGGACAGCTGCCACGGGGTGGGGGTGGGGGGGGTGAGAAGGTCACCAGGGCCCCACGGGGCCCACACGGAGGAGACCGCCAGCCTCTGTCACACGAAAACACCTCCAAGTGGTCTTTTCATGCTTGCTGCCACGTGGTTCCAGGGAGAAAAGGCGGGTGAAGGACAGCAGAATTATTCCTCCCAGAAGAGGAATCTTGAAGATGTGTTCAGTCGTTCTGGTAGCACACCTTCCTTCAGAACCTGGGGGCGTCCTTTGGAACAGACCTCAGAACTCTTTTCTCATTCTGCAAGTATCTAGGCGTGCCTCCTACATGCCAGGTTCCAGGTTGGATGTGGGCAATTGAGATGAAGACAGAAAGAAGGGTGGCCTTCTCAACTGCGCATGGGGCAAGTGAGTAACCTCCACAAAAACCTCCAAATCCCAAACTCCCTCCACCAGTGGACCTTGCCGGTCAGTGTAGTCTCCACTCACGTCCCTCTCTGTTCACTCCCAACGCTCAGGCACACTGGCCTCTCTCTCGCTCCCAACTCAAGTCCTGCCACAGGGCCTTTGCACAATCTCTTCTGCCTGTAAAGGTCTTTTCCGGATTTTCTCATGGCTCCCTTCTACACTTCACTCAGATCTTAATTCAGATGGCCCTGGGAGAACCTCATCCTCAGGGAGAAATCCAGGACACCCGACCTGAAATCACTCCGCTGCCCCGTATGGCTCTGTTTTTCTCCGTGGTATTTCACTGCCCGAAAGAGGATATAATCGCTCGTATTTTTCATTCTGTCTCCGCTGCTACAGTGGAAAGTCCCGTTAGATGAGGGATCTGTCGTACTCACCGTGGTAGTGCCTGAAACAGCACCTGGCACATGGAATGTGCTCAATACACAAGTACTGAACGGATAAGCACAGGGCAGCAAGTGCCGTGCCATCAGCAGGGTGCGGCACCAGTGTCCCGGGGAATTGGGACTGATGAGTAAGAAGCACAACTTAAAAAAGAGACAACGTGCACAGCTGTGGGGAACGTGTAAGGAAGAAAAGAACACTAGCGTTCTCTGGAAAAGACCAGGCAACAGGAGAGCCGTCTGCGGAAACGCCTCGGAAGGCCTGGGTTACGGGAGGACATGCCGATGTGACCGAGAAAGACCCAGCACGGTGCTGCAGTGGCCTCCCCCCGCGGCCCTCCGACCTTCCTCCCGGTGCCGGGCGAACAGGAAATCTGGGAGAACACGGGTCTGGGTAAGTCAGACCAAGTTCGATGAGCCCCACGAAGAGAGGTGAATTTAGCGGGCAGTGGGAGGACCCACGCCGGCCATGGAGGCAGCAGGCGGACCCTGAGGAGAGTCTGGGGTGCCGACAAGGTCTCTCTGGGGAGACCCGCTGCTTGCAGCAGTGAGCCTGCGATTCCAGGAAACCAGGCACAGCTGGGAAGAGACACTTCCAGAACCGCATTCCTGCCGGAGAAGCTGGTGGCACTTCAAAAAGACCGCATTTTCACAGGGTCACCCGCTGTTTATGAGGACACCCTGAGCTCGTGGGAACTTGTCTGTGTGACTTCTGCGGTCCTTACAGAGACTGCAGGGGAATATCGCACGGTGGCTTGTGATCAAGGTCCGGGCTTTAGACATTTCCCCCGTGACCTCACACTTTGGGGCTTGCTCTGGATCCTGT